GATGATGATGGTGGTGGTGGTGGTGGTGATGATGATGATGATGATGATGATGATGATGATGATGATGATGATGATGATGATGATGACGATGATGATGACGATGATGACGATGACGATAACGATGATGATAATGATGATGATGATGATAATAGTAATACTAATACAATTGTTACCTGCATTTTTTTTGTATATAATTTCTAAACTTGTATCAACTTCTCATTCTTCATTCATCAACATTGTTTCAAATTTCTTAAATCGATATGTGATGATACAATAATGGGAAGAAATAGAAAAATGTATCTTACGTATTCTTAAAGATGAATGTTAGGAAGATATTTTAATATTTCACAAACAATCAATATGAAGTTGGTGTCCTTAATTGACATAAATATCATTAAATTTATTAATTGCTAAGAAATTTATTTTACAATTATTAGGAATCATTTAAATTTTAAAAGTCCAAAAAGTTCTAGAAAAAAGTAGACTTCAGGTGCATAGTTTTGAGATGAAAATGTTTTTAGTAGACTATTCTACATTTAATATTATATAGATAAATTATTTTGTAATAATATAAATGTAACGATTCGCTCTGATCACCACACTAAAAAGAATCACTACTACTAGCAATAGAAACTAGCATAGTAGAAAATTCAAGATTAAAATAGAGAACGTATCATACATATATATAAAATATGAATACAAGAGCGAAACACCTATACTTATATAGATAAGATATATACACATGTATACAATAATCCCAAAATAATCCTATGTCCTGGTGCTAGTTGAGAACACCTATACAAGCTACACACAATAACACCGTCACCAACAGAAGATCACACCACCTACCAGTGGTAGCTCCTCAAGCCTAGCCCTAATATGCTCCTATACAATCTATCATCATCGTAGTCCAAACCACATAAAAATAGAAAGGGTAAGCTAAAGTTCAAAATCATGTAACTATTGAAAATAATTTTATAACCTACAAAATCATAGAAAAACATACATAAATTCCATACATCCCAAAGCAAACATGTATCTCATCCACACCCTGTTAAACAAAACATTCAACAATTCATAAGATCACACCACAACATACATCATATATATTTGACTCTACTTGCCCTTCAGATTCATCTTAAATCTTGTCCTACTCATTTAGGTGTTTCCATGTCCTTGATTTTAGTAAAAATATGATCTACAAGTCCTGCATGTAGACAAGTGTTGTCTTTATCATTCTTCAGCTTTTCCTCCTTATAAGTTTTGATTTGTGCAATGGTTAGATTTTCTCTTAATGGTGGTGGATCTAACTCCAGAAATTAGAACATTCCATGAACTTTGATATCTTAAAACAAATTTCATGTTGGCGGTCCAAATACAATAATTTTCTCTATTGAACATTGGAACTTGCAGGTGAACTGGTGAAAGTAGACATCCACAAAAATTTGCAAAATCTAAGATAACTTCAAATTGATGCACTCGGAACAAAATATATTTGATCAACAAACTATTAGGATTAAGCATACAAAAATGGTCAAAATAAAGATAAAAAAAATTATATATTTGATTAATTTGAAGAATATTATGGAATTGCAAAAAAATTTGATTAATAAACATTTCGAGGCTAAATATACAAAAATCTAAGTAGACTACAAACTATTTATACTTTGATGAAAAAAATAGATTGAAGTTGATTCATTATAAACAAAAGTCAAGTGAAACATACAAAAAATAATTACAAAAAAATATAAAAACTAAACTTATCCTTATTTCTGCTCAACAACCTCAACAATCTCACCATTCACAACTTCCTTGAAGGGATTTGTTGCACCAAAATCCACTCAAGTAAAACAATTTTTGCTTTCATAATAACATCATTAAAACCAAGCACATATTGTTGGGCACTGGTGGGTTTTACATTGACCAAATTTCCTTCTAAGCCATTAGCTCATTCAAAAATTGATTGAACTTGATCTTGCAACATGGGCAAATGTGGAGTGACATCAAACTTATGTTTTCAATTTATAGTTCAATTATTTCTCTCTCATCATGGTTCGTCTCTCTATTAATCATTTAGTAACAACTTTCTACCATCATACTAAGAACACTTACTTGATGACTTGCAAGTCGAAAGAAGCATTGTAGAAGGTTAAAGTTTGCATCTTGGGCACATTCAACAGTAGTATACAAGAAACAAAAGGCTTATTCATTCCCTTCTTACCAACAATATACAAGCTCACTCGGTTAACAATGCTAGATGATAATATCAAGTTCTACCTAATTAATAGAAAAAAGGCTTCATTAAGTCTAAGTTGGTTCACTTCTGGTTAATTGACTTACACTGAACATTTATTTTGAACTTTTGGCTTAACCTACGAATAGGGTATTTCCTTTTCCATCTTCACCACTCAACACCCTACAAAAAAAAATAGCAAAGTATGTAGGGGATAAGGGTTCGAATATACCTTTAGGGATAATTTGAGGTCTCTTATGACATGTCTAGAATAAGCACCAACAAGCTCGAATCATAATCAACTACAACAAAATCGCACCGGAAATTGTTTCTTTAGTACTATCTAAACCAATAAGATGCATCTAATTTTAGATAGATCTTAACTTAAGAACAACACAATTAAGTGCGCTTGGCTTGGAGTAGGGATGGGTGACCTTCTAGGAAGTTTTCTAGAAACTGTGTAAGTAAAGACAAAGCACGTTGAAAAGTCCTTTGTTGGTTTGTCGGGACAATCATTGATCCTAGAAGCAATTAGGCATGTAAAAAATGGGTTACCCATGGATGGTTTTAACCAGTGAAAGGTTTTGATCAATGAGGAGTTATGTGAAGTGTCATGAAATGGAGCCGTTAAGACGTCAATATGAAGGTCGTTACAAATGGTATTAGAGCTTGACTCTCTCTCTCTCTTACTACGAATTAGGTAGAAGCTAGTGGGCTTATAACAACTTGGATGCACCAAAATGAGAAGGATATAAAGATTTGTACATGTGTGAGACTATAAGGTTGAGTATGACTTAAAAGTATTAGTTAGTACTGCCTATACTAATAAGATGCATTTATTTTTCAGTAGCTCATCATTAAAGAATTTCATAGTTAATCATGTTTGGCTTGGAGTAATTTAGAGATATGTGACCTTTTGGAAAGTTTTCTAGAAAGCCTACATGTAAGCACAAAGCACACTAAAAATTTTTGTGTTGGTTTGTGGGGACAGTTGTTGATCTTAAAGACGTCCAACATCTCAGAAATGACTATCCATAAAGGGTTCCAATTGATGAAGGGCTATAACCAACAAAGAGTTGTGTGAAGTGTCATCTTGTTAAGTGTCATTTGAGTGGAATTGCTGAGATGTCGAATCTATGAAGTGATACATAAACCAAAAAATTTAGGGATGATTGACCTTTTAAGAAGTTTTCTAGAAAGTGTGCGAGTGAGGACAAAGTACAATGAAAAATCTTGTGTTGATTTGTGGGAACATTCATTAATCCTAAAGGCATCCAAGCATCTTAGAAAGTGCTACCGAAAGAGGATTTTAACTGGTTAAGGGTTTTGACCAATGAGAAATTGTGTGAAATGTCACCTTGTGGTGGAGTGGAACTACTAAGACATCATATTCGAGGAGTGTTACATAAACCAAGCAAATTAGTGATATGTGACTTTTTGGTAAGTTTCCTAGAGAGAATGTGAGTGAGAACACACTGAAAAGTCTTATATTAGTTTGTGAGAATAGTTGTTGATTCTAAATCCAAGCATCTCAGAAATGATTATCCAGAAAGTTTTGATCGATAAAAATTTTTGATCAATGAAGAAGTGTGAAATGTCATGTAATATGTAACACTATAATTGTGTGTCATTTCTAAAAAAAAATTATAGATTCTTAAATCAAATGATGTTTATCAGCCATAAAATGATTGTCATAAATATAAATGATAATTTTAAATTTTAAAAAGTAAAAATGAAAAAATATTTTAGAATGACCAAAATAAATTTTTTTCAATATTAAGAATATTAAAAAAAATGTTTACAAATTTACATAAATACGAAACAACGATTTTATTTTATCTTTTTTAACAAATATCTTCGGAATCTGTAGTACATGCGTCCCCACCCCACCTTTAGCTTTTTATGCGTGTTCTACTTTTGTTGGTGTGCGCCTCAATTTTCTACGTGTCTTTCACTTTCTAATGTCTGTCTCGTTGATTCCAAAAATTTATTTATATAAATAAAGACATATAGTAATGACAAGAGGAAAATTCTATGATACCTAATATAATAGTAGGGGTATTGGTACAATCATTTAATTCTTTTTATTGTAATTAATTATTTTATTTTTATTTTAATTTAATATTTTTTAATAAAAAAAATTAAACAGCAGTACTGGTACCTTCCTATTATAATAGGTATCGTAGAATTTTTTTTAAGAAAAAATTTTATGGTACATTCCTTTAATAATTTATTTTTATTC